AGCAAACGCAGGACTGTTATGTGAGGACAGTCTCACCTGCAGGCTCCACACTCAAACGTGCCGTTGCCGTTATGACACATGTCACTGTTCTTGATGCCGTGTTTGTGACATTCACACTCGCAGATGAAGTTGAGCAAGATCTCCACCTCCTCAGTGAAGCCCAGGGGCTTGATCTTAATGCTTTCAGGTTTGACTTGTTTGGGGCAGCCTTGAGCCGTGATATTAATGTTGAACGATACCTGGGAATGCAGTGGAAACAGAAAACGACTCAGAAACTACAGGCTGGCGGTTTCTGCTGTGGATGACGGAGGATGCATTTGTGTTGATGTGGCTTCACCTCGTCTCCGATGGAGATGTTGGAGCACTTTCTTCCGTTCTCTCCCTCATTCACCACTCCGTTCTTACAGCGTGACTGATAGGTGATGGTCACTGCTTCAGGAAGCTTACTGTTCTCAAGGATCACCTCTGAGGAAAGAGACTGAGAGAAAACAGAAATCAGCCCAGTTCCTTTAAAGACGGCAGATATTTCTAAAGAAGCTTCATCGGCTCACATTGTAGGCATCAACAATGAGATTGATAACATTGCTGGAGTTTGCAGAGAGCGTCCCCACTGCAGACTTTGGGATCAGGTTTTTAAGTTCCTGTGGAAAGAGAAAAAAACATCCATGGATCTTCAGCACAGGGACTCGGGGTGTTTGTTTTACAACAGTCCTGTTAAACGGCAGACAGGAACTTGAAATTATGACCTTGGCGTTCGGATCATTCCAAGCTGGGAAACTATTTTGGGCTTGTGGCTTTCCAAATACAGAGAAGCTGGATTCAAACTGTGCAGATGCCTGAGAGTTTTAGTCTCGCAGTGGTGAAATATTTGATATGGAATTTCATATTACAATTAATTCCAGCTATGGCTCGTTCAATGCAAGTCTATGGGATTTTGTTGCCTGTTTTATCACTCAGCAGGTGAATATTATAAGACTGATTACTTAGAAAAGTAATAGCATATCTTGCCTCAAAAAGTCACATCCCGTACAGGCAAAAACAAAAACAAAAAAATTCTGGGCAAAATATATTCTAAATATATGTTGTAAACAGTGAAGCTCAGTTAAAGGGGTCCTATTATGCTCTTTTACAAAGTCTTAATTTTGTTTTGGGGGTGTACTAGAACAGGCTCTCATACTAGGCTCGAAAAACATAATTTTTCACATATTTTACATTATTACAACACCTCTCTCCCCAGTCTGGCATGAACAGCTCGAATAGTTCCTGTATCAAATGAAAGCCCGTGGACTTTGAGCTTTGTAACTTTGCAGATTTTTTTATGCTCAAACAGAACATTACAGACTAACTAAAGTTTAAAAAGTGAAAAAGCATAATAGGACCCCTTTAAATATATTTTTGGAATTAACAATATATTTAGTTTCAACCTTCATATACCACAAAATATTTTAAAATGTATTTCAGGGGCAAGAAAATACATTTACAATCTTACATTAGCCTACATTTACCTTCATGCAAATATGGATGGAACAGCCTACTCGAGATCAAAATAGATCTATAATGATTTAATAATGTTTAAATTATATATATAGCAAAACAAACATTATTATGATGCACAAAAATAGCACAGAATATATTTATGTAAATATATTTTGAAACACATTTTAGAAAATGTTGATTATTTGGCCATGTTTTGTATATTTAAAAATATATATTTGATTTTATTTCTTTCTTTCTTTTTTTCTTTTTGGCTGTGTGGGATGATTTGAGTACTCAATCATGCAACAACAACAACATGTTCTTACAAAATGTGCTTACATTTAATACGTTTATGATTTGTGAGCATTAATGATTGGTTCGAATCCAAACAGAACCACAAAGTTTCCTACGTTTAGACTAGTGTGGAAAAAGACTAAAGCCCAGGTGGAAACTTTTACAAACTGGCCAAATACAAAGAAGAGAAAAATTCTCACGGGGAAAGAAACTACAGGCTCCAAACAGAGAAAAATATGAGTGTTTTTGCTCAGACACACACCGTTCCATACACACCACTACGATTGTAATCATCTGCGGACCTACTTTGTAAACAGGCTGAAACTCCTCTGTAACGGCAAAGATGGTCTGGATGTTGTTTTCACTCAGTTTCTGAACCAGGTGGGCGATGGATGGGTAATCCTAGTCAGGAAAGGAAATGAAAAGCTCTGCTAAATCTGTCAAACATCCAATAGTCTGCTCTGAAAATCTCCTGGAGATGTCTTATACGCACGTAATAATGGCTCATGGTGTACATGTTGTTTTCTAAGTGGCATTTCCCATCATTGGGAAGCACGATTCCACCTAGTTTGCCATCGCCGGCAAAATGGAAACCTGCGTCTGTGGAGAACACCATCAAACGAGTGACGTTTCTCCAGCCGATGTGCTCCTGAGAGAGAAATGAAAAAAAAACAACAGGAAGGAGGAGAAAAATGAGGTCAAGGGATACAAAGAGTGAAGGTGCAAGTACAAAAAGAGATTGAGGACACAAATGACCATATGTGACCCTAGAGCACAAAACCAGTCATAAGGGTTTATTTTTTGAAATTGTGATGTATACACTATCTGAAAGCTGAATAAATAAGCTTTCCATTGATGTATGGTTTGTTAGGACAGGACAATATTTGGCTGAGATACAACTATTTTAAAATCTGGAATCTGAGGGTGCTAAAAAATGTAAATATTGAGAAAATCATCTTTAAAGTTGTCCAAATAAAGTCCATAGCAATGCATATTACTAATCAAAAATTAAGTTTTGATATATTTACGGTAGGAAATTTACAAAATATATTAATGGAATATGATCTTTACTTAATATCTTAATGATTTTTGGCATAAAAGAAAAATCTATAATTTTGACTCATACAATGTATTGTTGGCTATTGCTACAAATATACCCCAGCGACTTAAGACTGCTTTTGTGCTGCAGGGTCACATATTACTGTAGCATTTCAATTTTTCCACTGAAAATAACCAAATAATGACTCATATTCTCAGTGCATAATAAATAATCGTCCTCAGTGATGTTGTTTTTCACTCACTCCACAGACAGCCACTTGCATGATGGCATCAAACCCCCCCTCAGGTGAGTCCAGGTTGCCAGATATCTGCTGTTTTCCCACCAGACTGTTGAACTGCTCCCCGTTGCTGGTGAGTTTCAGCACGTTCTTGTAGCTGAAGGGGCTGGTGCAGTTTTGGTCCCCTGTGCAGGGGTTCAGGAGCTTGGCTGGAGTCGTGCTGATATACGGCATCACCGTCTTCTCCACAAAAGAGCCAAAACCTATCCGGAAATTAGCAAAGCAGCGTCTTAGCTTGAAGTGCATGCCTGCTCTTGTCTCTGTGGCAGTGTGAGGAAAGTTTTGATTATGTCTTATTTTAGCATTTTATAATAATGTCATATTCTATTAGTGCTGTCAAACGATTAATCGTGATTAATCGCATCCAAAATAAAAG